TGCATGAACCATTAACATTAACAGCAGTACTCAGAGACGTCAAATAAATTTAATACTTAATAATTTTCATTTGGTATGAATTCTGAATCTTCATTTCAGAACTTTCATGAAAAGTTCTGAAATGAAGATTTTCATTATTCTTATTATTCAAAATAAGAATAATGAAAATCGGTTCACCCATTCCAAAGTTCTGAGGTAACAAAAAAAAAATACAGTGGAATTGTGTAACTCCTATTTTTTTTGAAGTCAGTTGAAAACAGATTATGAGAGAGATTAGAAGAGATGGGGTACAGCTGATTTCCCGCTCGAATTGGAGCGCTCATTTGGGAAAGTAACCTCCGCCTTACAGAAAACCGCAGTAAAATATCACTACCTTTTGATGGATGTGTTTCTGTCGGTGAGTGGAGGACCGCTCAAGGCTCCACGGGGTAAGGTATTGGGTCAGGGTAGGCAACGGCGCGAGTGATATTTTTGATAACGCAAGCGTCTATAGGCTATTATGGCTATTTTAATTTTAACATCTTAGAGCATATACCAAGCTCTTAGTTTAACAAAGAAAAGATATATATTCAGGGGTAGTGCTTTATACTATACCTACGAGGAAATAAAAGACAATTGATTTTTTTATTTACAGTATTACAATATATAGAAAATAAAATAACAACAACTTAAAAACTTCCTAATGTATAAAATTTAAATACAAATTACTTTAACCGACTTATGAATAATATCTTATTTACAAAATGAAAAATAAGTCACCCCCAACGCCGCCGTCAGGAATGGTGCCAAAAAGGCTGGCAGCATTGCCACGTTGAATAGCAAAGCTGATCCGTTGACCAAGATAGCAGTCAGCCTTTTGGTCACTAGTCACATCTGTGAGTCTCTTTGATAATCCCTTATAAATGAGCGCTTGGGGTCCAAGCGCTCATTTATAAGGGATTGATTGATGAGCCCATAGTGTCAACACCAAACGGCACAAATATATAGCTCTCATTGATAACTGAATATTTGCACCGCTTGGAGCACTCAGCAGAGGCCGCCGCCGCCCGCAGCAAGGGAGGTGCTCCCTGTATTTCACGGAGCAAGCGTATCCGCTCAAGTTGCCGGCCCATACAAGAGGGCGACCCTGCTTCCAAGGAATGAGCGTCATCCGGTCAGGCCTCTTGCCATCGTCACGAAAGATGCCGCTTGGCTCAAGAACCGCTGGCACTTTGACTGTGACAAGAGTTCTGCGGATGACGTCATTGATGCAGGCGTGGCGGGAGACACGGCATGCGCTCATTTGGCATGAGAGACTGTGGTGACCCAACTCAACGACGCAAGTACCGCAACGACAACGATGATTTGTCTTGACACCAAGTGGAAGCGATATTGCCAGAGACAGAGAGCTCTTGTCAAGCAAAGTCCCGATATTGGCTGAAGGTAAAGCTTGCAGCCAGTAACCAGACTCTACCTGAATGACCGCTGGAAGGCGAGCACGCTCAGTGGCATTTTCAGAAGAGGCTAAAAGATCACGCTGAATACGCAAACAAAGCGGTGAGTCCCACTGTCTCTGAGGAGATAGAGAGGTTGGTGGATCTACTCCCGGGCATGCCCTAGACCAAGCGCTTCTGGCCTCTGCAAGGTGAACCAACTCCACTACGCCCAAAGAAGGTCATAGTATTTTATTAAAAAGCTCGGCTGTACCATATGCAGAAGACAGAAAAGCGGAAAGGGCAATATGGGAAATATGACGATTACCTAGACCTCCGAAACAAATAGGGAGGCCTGCTTCGCTTCCAAGAGAGGCCTGTTTCCAAGCGTTATCGGAAAATGAACAATTGAAGATTTTGGAGAGTGTCTCTTTGAGCAAATTGTCAATTATTGACAGGGGAAAAGTCAAAAATTAGTACTTCATAAAAAATATATGAATTTTGGTGCGAAAGCGCAAAAACGAATTAAATATAAAGCCATGTGCGGGTTAATTTTCATATTTTTTTCGGAGGAATGCTGAAATTTAGCAATTTGTATTATATTTGTTACAGTTCTTTACCAAAATTTTGCCTGGGAACTCTATATTGATTTCACGAGTCGTATAGGTTTCTCGATGTTTGCTTAGGTAGGTAGTTTTTCTTATTTTGGCGGTGACAGTAAATCTTCATTATCACTATTAGGTACATGCCATCTTGAGTATAAAAAAAAACTCGGTTAAAATAATCAGCGCGCTTTTTACTTTTAATTCACATTTCGAAATTAATGTTCAGAAAGCAAATAGTATAATGTTAAAAAAAACGCAAAATCTTTAAAATGATACTGACAACTTACTTTGTCGGAACATAAATTTTTAAAAAAACCCAGCAAGTTAACAATGAATTTTCATAAACTTTTCTGCCCGCTCAGCGTTGAAAAAGTGTATGGAAATCCATTTATAACAATAAATGTATTTCCAAACACTTTTCCAGTCCGCTTTTATAGTAGTAAAAGAGTAATGAAGGAGAACCTTTCTGCTTCATTTAAAAAAAGAATGACTCACTATCCTAGCAGGTATAGAAGTATAAATAAGTATATATAGATTTATTTTGCTCTATATTAACTTCGACCAACAATACTACACTTATACCGTATTATTGAACGAAGCTATGTTAATAACGTGAAGCTAGACGCTTGAAATATAAGCAGAATTCACTATAAAAATAAAAACATAATTAGAATTAAATAAATATTTAACACTTGACTTCCTTACTGTATTTTTACCTCTAATAAATTATAATTAACAAAACACAATTATTTCTCGACTTGTATATTTAGTCTTAAAATATAATATTAACATAAATACAGTTAAATAAGTTATTGAAATCTAAGCCTACGTAAAATAGTTTTTTGTCCAATGCGGTCATAAATATTTAATGCGGTTCAATATTTTCAAATAAACAGTATGTTGTGTTGTAGTGACTTAATATCCAGACTTTACTGTTTTGTACAGATCATATTTTAATCATCGTTTTAGTCAGGCGAATCATATTTTAAGCTAGTTACGAATGCCTTTATACGCCCTATATTTTGAGTTACCAGAGAAACTTTAAAATCGTGTAAATAAAAAAAAGTGTGAACAGTTATAAATAATAATCGTACTACACCCCCGTACAAAAATATTGATTTATATCGTTTACAAAATATACGAAATCGGCGAAAATTCGCAAATTACATAGGTTACCTATGTAGGTTACTTATTTTGAAATAATCATCATCATCAGCCTATTAATGTCCCCACTGCTGGGGCACAGGCCTTCCCTATGGATGGAATAGGGAGATTGGGCCATGACCCACCACGCGGGCCCAGTGCGGATTGGTGGGTGCTAACGACTGCAAATGCAGCCGGGACCAACGGCTTAAGGTACCTTCCGAAGCACGGAGGAGCTCGAGATAGTAAATTTTTGGTCACCCATCCAATGACCGACCACTGCGAAAGTTGCTTAATTTCAACGATCGCAGCCGAACGCGCTAGCCACCTGCGCCATCGAGCTCCTCAAAGCGAGCTTTGAAATAATATGCAGTGTTAATTAATAAGCTTCTTAAAATTATTAATAAAAAAAATCCTCCGATAAAAGTCTAACTTGGTTTATCTGTACAGTGTTTTTTTATGTTAAATTGTGGCAAAGAAGCGTATGTTCCGCCTGATAGTAAACAGCCACCATAGCTAATAGACGCTTGTGATACCAAAGATATCATTCGCACCTTTTACCTGACCCAATCCTCTACCCCCGTGGAGGCCTGAATCCTTAACCTTACCAAAGATAATAGTGTTTTCTTACTGCCGCCGTCTTCTGTAAGGTGAAGGTTACTTCACCAGACGGGCTCTCCAATTCGAGCGGCGAATCCGCTATGCACATTTGCAAACTTTGCAATAGTATTTTTATTAATTTTTATTGCAAGAACATCCCAATGCCTTTTAAAAATATATCTACAAACAATAAATAAATATTTATACGCACCTAATACATAGACAATTCAAATAGCTAGTCGTTTATTTGTATAAAATTCTTATTAACTCCGTAAAGTATTATGAAATAGAAAAAAAAACCGGCCAAGTGCGAGTTGGACTCACGCACCAAATAAAAAATTACGGTTTTCGCAATTTTTCCTTTATCTGTGCTATAAGACGTTGCTTCGTACAAAATAATAAATTTCAAGATTCTGAGTTCACGGGAAGTACCCTGTAGGTTTTGATTCCCTTGCGAGTTCCGAAAATTTGCGGCATAAACGGCTGTATCTTTTGATTGCGTTGGCTTAGAAGTTTGTTTTTTTTCACAGCTCCAAGGAACAGTAGACCTGAGTATTTGATTAAATTTCAGCTTGATACCTCCACGCGTTCCTAAGACAAAGGGTCTTGACAGACGGACGGACGGACAACAAAGTGATTCTATGAGGGTTCCGTTTTTTCCTTTCGAGTTACGGAACCCGGATAACCGATAACTATTGCAGAAAAGGATAGGAACATCATTACTTACATAGAGTAGAGACGGTTTAACTATGTTATGATGTAGAGTCATTCTAGTTCAGCTACTCGTACATACATCTTGTTTAGTAGAATGTACAAAAAATATATTTTTTTTGAGCATTTAACTCCTAGACGTTTAAATCTAAAGAGAATATTACTATTAATGGAACAATGCTAGAGGAAATTCGAAACGGCCGTAAGGTTTCGGTAGCACAATTGGTTAGTGCGTCCGCCCGGATAGCGGAAAATGAAGGTTCGAATCCCGTCTGAAACCTGGACTTTTTTCTAGTAATATTTTCTTTAGAATGTATAGTTATTAACTCATCATTATTTCATATCAGAGAGATATTATGTAGTATTTATTGTAAGTGTATTAACTGTCCTTGTATCATGTAGGTACGTACTGCTTTTAACTATTCATTAAAGCTGTTGGTGTTAAACTTATTATAACGTCAAACTTTTTCTGATCTCTCATACTTTTTATGCGGTTTCATTCAGTTGTGACAAAACTTTACTTTAAACACTAGAAATCGGGGTCAGGAGCGTCGATGGCGTATCCAAACTTTTGCAATGCCGTTTTAATTTCGCCAAAAACTGTAGGATCTTCAATTGTAGCGGGTAATTTCACTTGTTGGGATCTCGCCAGTTTGGCAATAGCACCGCGCAGGGCTTTTCCCGACCGTGTTCGTGGCAAAGCTGGGACGGCGACCGCCTTTCTGAATGCTGCAATAGGGCCAATGAGATGGCGCACCAACGCAATAAGTTCTTGGGTAACAGTGCTCTCGGCAACTATCTCTTCATCTGTAACACATGAATAATGTTTTCATGCATTTGTATTCTTTTGTATTGTTAGACACCATAAGACTATTCAAATGCTGATGAGGTCAAAAATGTAAAGCTTGTTGTTGCAACATTTTTTACTTGATAAACAAGGAAAGGGGGATTTATTATATTTTTTCTTTAGTACATTTAATTGTTAGATATTAATTTACTTCTTAGGTACCTACATATTCGACTCGTCCCAGATGCGAAGCTGGTACTAACCTAAATTATGCTAACTATCGGTCAATTCACCCCAAAACAAGAAGCATGCTTGTTCGATTCCAGCCTGGGACAAGTTGAATCATTTCTATTCAACAGTTCTACAGATCACCTGGCTATTTATCATCCCAAATATTTTAATATTTTCGAATCGAATCGAACTACTCCATAATTTTCCGGAGAAATAATACTTCTAACTAAACGATGATTAAACTTTTTTTAGATAGCTTCGAAATTTTAAGAGTAATTAAGTCTAAAATTGTAGACAAGGTTGCCTAAAGTGCAATAAATCTTCTTTACGAGTTTGATACAGATTTATGGCTTGTTGTAAAAAGAAACTAACACCTATTATTTTTGGTCCTCTAACTCAGGTATTAATATAAAAGACTTACCATCTTGTGGAGGTCTCATCACATACAAACAAAGTGGAACATCTCCCTTGGTGGGATCAGGAGCGCCAACGACAACCGCATCAGCCACTCTCGCGTGCTTTAAAACAACATCTTCAAGGGCTGCTGTTGATAGGCGGTGACCAGCGACATTTATTACGTCATCAGCTCTGGCAACCACCCACACTGCACCTTCGGCACTAATCCAGCCCGCATCTTGGGTATCGTAATAGCCCTGTCAAAAAAACAATAACCGTCAAAAAGCTATGGTTTTTCAGAGGACAGGATGACTCATAACACAAGAAAAGCTCGATTTGAGATAAAAATTCAGTTTGATTCGGTTTTTTCTTCTCTTCCTATCAATAAAACAGTCTGTCGATTAGTGATCAAAAGATAGCGCAAGTGATATTAAGTTAGCAGTAACATAAATAGAATAAAAAATAAAATAAAAACGCGTTTTTCTCAAAACTCGTTTTTTGTGATATGAGAGTTTTTCAGATGACGTTCGGATAAAGTAATCGATTTGCTTCCATACATTTTATGAACGAAATTACATAGAACGTATCAACAGAAAGGATGCTTCGCCACTTCTCGACTTCTACTCACACATATTTTTGTTTTTAAGCATTGAAGCCATGATTTACTTACAGGATAAGACTCGAAGTATGTCGTTTTGAATCGGTCATCCGATTGCCACAACGTCGACGCAAAGCCAGGTGGTAAGGGAAGCTTAGCGACCAGTCTACCAACTTCTCCAGCAACACATTCGGTGCCATCTTCCCGTAAAGTTCGGACTGGAAAAGTTAGAAAAGATAGTAAGAGCTATTAAAATATGCAGGTAGGTTAAAAAGTTCTCCCTGAGAGTCGTACGGTTGGAGTCCCGTCACAATGTGAATTTTAATTCATTTGTGGTGAGGGTGCCGACTAAACATCTGGCGACTTTCACGAAGGAAGATCTTTGGCCGAAAGGTGTTGTATTCCGGCGGTTCCGAGGCCCATTACCTGACACCACTCCGCGTCACACGTCGCCGTCTCTACGTGTTAATTAGGTGTTTACTAACATAGTTAATAATTTTATTTACTAACAACAATGTTTTATATCTGTATATATGTAAGATTATAAAATATTTATCTATGGGCCTATGTAGTCTGATTATAAATAAATAAATTAAAATAAAGAGAGAATATAAATGCTTACTATCATATCCAGGAACTGGGTAGCCTGCAGAATGAGGTGGAACTGCCTTCACTCCATAACCTAAGCATGCGGCAGTGATAGCTGAACCAGTTTCAGTTTGCCACCAATGATTTAACACTGGAACTCCAAATATGCGTTCAGCCCACAGCTACAAAATATAGGTAAGCGAATAAGTTATAATGAAATGAATACAAGAAGATATCGATACCTTGGAACTCAAAGGGCGTAAACATCGAAATTCAATTTTATAGTAGCGCTACAAACCAATTTTATGTCATTATTGTTTTTTAAGCATTTAACTGCTAGATGTTTAAATCTAAAGAAAAGTTTTACTAGAAAAAAATCCACTAGGACCAGGCAGCGGACGGGACTCGAACCCGCACCCTTCGCAATCCAGGCAATGCAGTGACCAATTATGCTACCACGGCCCTGATGGCCGCGTCGAAATTTTCCTAGCCTTAAGCTGCAAGGCAGCGCTATCTCTTCGCATTGCAGGTGACCCACAATGTCAAATGAATACTTTTTCAAGTATTAAACATTTGAAAGAAGAAATAGCAATTATAGTTATTTTTTTTAAGCATTTACCTGCTATATGTTTAAATCTAAAGAAAATTTTTACTAGAAAAAATCCACGCGGACCAGGCAGCGGACGGGACTTGACCTGCACCCTTCGCAATCCGGGCGAATTTACTGACCAATTATGCTACCACAGCCCTGATGGCCGAAATTTTCCTAGCCTTAAGCTGCAAGGCAGCGCCATCTCTTCGCATTGTAGGTAACCCACAATGTCAAATGATTACTTTTTCAAGTATTAAACATTTGAAATTTTCAATTTTATGTTTCAAATTTGGTGTATCTTTTTTGTTTAAAAATTTGTTTTAATATATACCTACAGCTACGAAAACAAAAAAATATACATTAAAATCATTGTAAAAAGTTGTTTTTTGGCTCTGCTGTAAAATTTATAATGAATGAGGTGAACATAGCTAAACAATAAACTTCTTTTACTGTTGAATTACGGACGCCATAGGGCACAGGTCACAATTGCTGTACAGTCGAACACAATTTGCATATTATAATGTTACGCGTAGTATAAAGAAATAAGAACGTTGCCCTTCCAAACAATAGGTAAACTATTTAATTGTCCCAATATATCACAATACGAAGAAAGACAAGCCAAGTTATAACATGAACATAAAGAGATACAGACATATGTATATTCGGTTACCCTAGTATCCCATAACACAGGACTTTCAATACTTAGTTGGGTAATGAGCGTGCGTGTTGAAAATATTTATTTATTTGTAGTTCTAGTTTGCGATTATGAGTACAATTATTAATAACTATTAAGACCATGTCTTACAGAAAGTGACTAGTTACCTATAAAGATCACATAAAAACCTTATTATGTTGCTTATCTGAAAGGTTATCACGAAAATATAATAAATCTCAGCAAAATACTATAAAAGCTTAGTCAACTTATCAGCTACATACTTACTCTAGTATCTTGATCACAGTGTTCACCAGCCATGAATACTGTCTTAAGGGATTTACCGCAATATCTCCTCGCATATTTGGCTGATGGATCAGCTCTCTTTAGCACACGGAATGCAGTTGGTATAGTAAATAGGGCGTTGACTCTGTGTTGTTCAATTATTCTGTTAATCATTGAAAGCTATCATCAGTTACTTACTATCCACTAAAACAAAAAAATATATAACCCTATTTAGGAAATCCCCTGGTATTACCTAAAATACTGTCCTGGGTCTGGCGTCCGATCAGGTTTGCCTTCATATAATATGGATGTGAGACCCGCCAGCAATGGGCCGTAGCATATGTAAGAATGCCCCACGACCCACCCTAAATCTGAGGCGGCCCACCAGACGCCTTTTTTGAGACCGTATACGGCATGCATGGACCAGCACAAGGTCGCGGCATGACCACACGGTCGTTGAACTCCTTTGGGTGCATCGGTAGTACCTAGAAAATTCAAATTGAATACATTGAAGGCTTGGCAGTAAACTTTCTTTCTCAAATAGTGAAATTAGCTACTCACCTGACGTGTATAATATGTAAAGAGGTTCGTTTGCTTCCACCGATACACAGGGCACAGGGTCTGATTCCAATGCCACCTCCCAGGATATATCACGATCCTCTTCCAAGGAGCACTCTAAAACGCGTCGACGTTGATAGATAATACACGTCTTTGGTTGATGTGAACTTTGACACAGTGCTTCGTCTAATATTTCTTTGTACCTGATAGAAAAGAAAATAATATTAAACTTTTCACTGAAAAGACGGTACTTAACAGGTTATAAAAAACGATCATATGAATCTTAGATGGTCCAGAAAAGTTGTGTCATATTTTCATGTTCGTCTGCAACATCATAGATATTTGAGTGTCTACTACCTATATGTATAACATGCAATACAATGCATAGCATTAAGTGATGAGAGTAAATAAGCAATAAATGCTTTTGAAACCACCCAAAGTGCAGTTAAAAGGATTATTTTATCCGATAAATAAAATGACACACCTTACTATTTTATTTGGTTCAACACCACAACTAGCAGCTATAATAACTACGGGCTCCGCATGTTCGATTCTAGTTCTGAGTTCCCGTGCCGCGAATCCTATAAAAACAAAAAAATGGGCTTTATGACCTTAAAACACAAAAGCTACTTACTAAAAACCAAGTTTGTAAAACGTGGTGTAAGTAATATATCTTACCTCCAAATACGACAGAATGAATGGCACCTATCCTGTTTGTTGCTAACATGGCGATAATAGCTTCTGGAATTAGCGGCATATATATAAGTACCCGAGATCCTCTTGTTACGCCTATCGCTGACAGTTTGCTAGCAATACGTGACACCTGAATACAGAAAATAAGTACATAGTTTTTGAAACATTATAATCCAAAAGTTGATTTTAGAGATTTCCAAGTCTGCAAATTAGGGGTAAAGGTTCTTGAAACACACTCTAATGAATCGAAAGAAATAATCATTAATTTTTCAAATACTGCGTTGTATTATGTTATGAACAATCACTGATTTAGAGTATTGACTGCAACATGTTTTACTCACTTGGTCCTGAAGTTCGGAGTAGGTTATTTTCCTGACTGTGTCCGTAAGAGGTGAATCGTGCACCAAAGCGACTTGGTCTCCCTTTCCAGCAGCCACGTGGCGATCCACTGCATTGTGACAAACTGACATCTCTCCACCAACCCACCTAATGGAATCACGAAATAGTATGTTTAATATAAATTTGTGAAACCGCGGTGTAGTTAAATATATTTTGTTATGAATTGATTCTTTGGTAAGTATTTAGGTACTTTACGATTAGCAATGCCTTAAAAATATGTACCTATTTAAATTATAGTATCCTATCTGTTTTCCTATTCATTAAATAAACTACGTAAATATGTACTGAATTGTACTCTTTCGTTTAGTATTTCTCTAATCTTACTTGACTTTTAGACTTGACCCACAAATTAGATATAATAATCCAATTCAATGACCTGTACCTAAAAATTATTTTGCACTCTGGTAAGTACGTTATTTGATTGGTTGTAAATAATATATAAAAATGTGTTGTTGCTTACCATTTAGTAAAAGGAGGATTACTGTTATCCAGAACTCTATCCCAGGGTTTTGTCCACTCGAGCTCATTGCCGACGTCTTTCCAAAACTCTTCGGGCTTATCCAAGGAGCAACGATGGGCCCTTAAGCATTCTAACGTCACGCTTGCTTCGCCTGCGATGTGTTAAAGGCATCTTTCATTTGTATGAAACTATCACAAAGATCACGATATTTGAAATGTCCTATTGGAACTTTTTTTTATTGCCTTCGAAGGCAGACTAGCGGACAGGCCACCTGATCTTAGGTCGTTACCGTTACCAATGGACATCAGCATTGTCAGTGACACAACCGTACCGCTGCCTTTTGTGGAACACGATTTAAGCCTCTCTTGAAGAGGATCATGTTATAGTACAGTACACGGTGGACGGAAGTACATTCCATAATGTTACTGTCCTTGTAAAAGATCTCGGGAAACGAACAGTTGTGAACTTCAGAGTTTCCTGGTAGTATGGGTAGACTCGCGACTCCGGTGACGGGTGGTGCGGTGGTAAATTAAACATTTTGGGGACTTCGCTTTATTTAAAAGGGTAATTAGTTGAACTCTACTTTCCAAAAGAAAACTTAGAGACAGCGATAGTCTTATCAATGGATAATGGTAGTTAAGAATACTACAAGTAACAAAGCCTACCTACTTAATTTAGATGATGCAGGTATCATAAAATTCATAAATGTTGATGTTTTAATACGAAAACATTATCACCAATTGTCGATTTCCCCGGAAGAATAGAAAAAGCTTGCATGCCTGCCTTCGACTAGGTACGTGAATCCCGAACACAGCAAAAATAAACAAAGTCGGTTGAGCCATTCTCAGTATCACGTGAGGTAATCGAATTTTCTTTTATTTTTGAATTTATTATGAAAATAGTTCAAAACATTATTCAGTAGAATAATTTAATCACGATCGACGTCCGTGTTACCACACAATGTAAGTTGATAAATTTTACCATAATTCGCGACATCTGTGGCTGATACAAAACTTTTCTTCTTGAGTTCATTGATCGACGCTTCGAATTTGTTTTTCTCGATTTTGGGAGACGCGTCAGCCTCTTGATGCATCTTGGAAGATTGCACCGAATGTTTTCAAACAACAAATTTGTTAAAAAGTCGTCGGTTGCCCTGACGAGGCAGAAGCTAACTGTCCGCGTCGCATTTGTGACACTCAGTAAAATTTATTATTCCAGTTTACATATGAATGAGGCAACCCCTGAACTGTTGTGGTGCTGCTGAATTATTTATTGAAATTATACTTAGTCAAGTTCAGTGAAAAAATACTGCTTGACGCACTCGGAAATTCAGTTCTGAAGCTTCATGGCTGTAGGAAAAAAGGAAATTAGCATTGCTAATAGTTTGGAAATCCCTCAAAATAGTCACGCGTAGCTTATAATGTTGTATTTAAATAAACTTTTAACTCACATAATTTGAAGAAATAGGTTAGATATCTTTGGTTTTTTTTTTTAATTTTATTACTACGTAAAGCACCACAAGCTGGGTTTGTTAAAGGAAAGGGTACTCGCGATATAAAGGCATGCTTCTCTTACTTAAAACTAAATGTAACTTTAGTCTCTCCTTTTCATTCTGTATGGAGAATGACAAGGATACACTGCTTTAAATTTAATTTTATATTTAGAGAATCAAGCCAGAATCGACACCATAGTCCGACAAATAGAGAAAGCTTACAATCGCTTTGTTGCCTTCTCTTAGGCGTTTGACTCCGTGGAATGAAATTTCGGAATACTTTGCTGGATATGGGTAGGTACACCAAAACACTTAATACATCTTCTCAAGCAAATGTGGTTCTTTGGAGAAGCTGGCATCCCAATGCGGGTGTTCGACAGGGTTGCATAATATCATCATTGCTATGTATGTAACATAACGGTAACACAACACTATGTTCATTATGCGAATAACTCTCAAAGACAAGACAAAAACTTTCTTTATAAAAATAAACACTGACTTCATAAAATTAAGACCAGTAAATGTAAAAAAATAATAAATTTTCTTGAGGTACTTATGTGTACAGGTCATTTATATTCATTCATTTGCCTAAAAAGTACCTAGGTACTTAAGTTTAGTCTGTTCTCTTGCCCATTACCGAGCTATCTTAATGCGTTAACAACTTATTCATCAGGTACAGTGACTTTCCATCGGTGGCCGAAATCCTTCACGTCAGGACTGTCTGGTTTATAGGTGGTCATAACAGGGTGACAGAACTACACCCAATGCTAAAGAAGCATTTCTGTAGGCTAACAAGGTGAGGATGGTTGGTTTTGTATCTCTAATTAAGACTCCCAGACTTGTTTAGAATAGTTTAATGCAAACACTACTGAAGACAAAATATATCATATTTGTTTCTTAGGTTTTCACGCACATCACTCATTAAATAAAACTAGTTTTTTACGGATTAATGCACGAAACGTTATTTATTTATTGACGTTTCGCAGCCTTTACAGGCTGCGTCGTCAGAATCATTTTTTTATTTAATTTTGTCGAGCTACCTTCGAAAGACTTTTATTGAGCGTTCGCGGTTATTTCATTGTTCGATTTTTAAAGTTTTATTGTCTAAGTGTGAATTTATTACTTAATTTAGTTAAAATCTTTTTTGTAATTTAATAAATAAAGTTATAGCGTGTAACTATTTTTTTACGGGTTAGTTAAGCATTAACCCGTAAAAAACTAGTTTTATTTAAAATATATCATAATTAATAATCACCTTTTTTGCGCTAACTCGAACTCAACTACCATTGACCATTCTTCAATAACGAGAGCATATCCATAGATTAGGTTAACACAGATCCTTAATCAATAAACTAAAAACGTAACAGTTGGTAGGGCAGTTATGTTATAACTGCTGCATCAGCTATCTTCGCGTCTGGACTTTACCACCACTTAACATCAGGTGAGATAGAGTCATTTGCCTACCTAGTGACCGGTGCTGCAAAATCTATAGTCTCGTCACTAAATGAGTGTCTCGGGCCAAGCGCAATGCATGGTTCCTTTGTAGCCCATCCATCACAATGCACAAAGTCATAGCTAGCATTTCAGGCCACGTCTAAACAGCTTCGCACGCTTATGGAATAATGACCTATTAGTACACATACGATATACAAACAAACTCTTGTGATAATGCCATCTACTTGTATTTACATGTAAATATCACTGATGCGTACACTACACCTACTTATCTTTTAAATTAGACATTATGTTATCTATACAAAAAATATTGCAATCACAAGACTGTGGTAATACGTTAGTCAAATTTTAACCTAAGTACCAAGGTCACTTTGGATTTCTGACCTAACCCCACATCCCCGGAGCATAGAGGCTCTCCTAAGACGGGGGAAACTATGTGACCATGCGGCTTGAAGGCGAAGTATGCGCCTTCATCGCAGAGAGCTGCTAGGGACCTGGACCTCACCCGCTGCCTGCCAAGTCGTGCCTCCTACTGCCGTGACCGTAACTAAGAGACCGTCACCTGCTGTCGAAATTGGCGATGAGAAGCCACCGCCTGCTACTCGGGTAGAAGGTTGCTGACACCTTCAAGAAAACCCCCGCCCCCTAATCCAGTTTTCCAACCCCATATTTCCGTCTCTTGTGTCCTTTCCAATTACTAAGAAAGCCAGGACGCGTCGGACGCTTTACTGGGTTTGGTTTAATGGATCAGATACACGATGACACTGACACTAGATAAGTATATGTCAACACTAGTGTCGATCGCGTCCACACAGTAAGCAACTTTTATGTCGACATTAGTATAAACATCTAGTGTATAAGTGTGTCTTGGCTGTTTGTCTCACGACCTGTCTCCATGGCCGCGTCACGGACACTGAGCGACATCGCCACTACAACTATTTATTTATTTATTCTTTATTACCAAAAACAGTAAATGGCGGACTTAATGCCATAGGCATTCTCTACCAGTCAACCAGTATGGGTGTATGAGACGGATGTTTTGGCGATAGAGTGCGAGCTACTAAAGTTAGAGAAAAAATAATAATAATAATATTATCCTACAGAACTATACTATACTATAAACGATAAATATATATTATATATAAATAAAATATCTCTATATAAATATAAATACAAATACACATATATATAAATTAATAAATATACATATATAATTATATACATACACTTAATTAGTTAGGGCCCCGTGAATTCAAGGGGCGCCCAGCTAAGTCAAGACAAAGCCTAAAATAGACGATAATGCGAAAGAATCCATACTTTTATTAAACTAAACAGATCGGAAATTCAGACAGGCAAATATCGCTGAATTTAAATCGGAAATAGCAGATATAATAGTTTCAAAATAGATGTCTAAAGCTGAACTAGTAAAATTATTTTCTTTAAAGCAGTAGATTCAATAATTAGAAGTACATTCAATGTAGAAAAAATACATTGTTGAATGTAACCCTATTTATATTACCCCTAGAATGTGAGGAGCAAATTAAAGAATTTGCCATGTCTGCACTTTGCAGAAAGGTTGCTTTGTAATTTGTCAATACAGGTTGTTACAAAAATACAAATAAAGCTTGAAGGGCGTTGAAGTACATCATATAAGGCGTCTTCTCTAATTTTCTTAAAATATTGCATGAAGTTATAACTTTTTAAAAAAACAGGTTTTTTTAATGATCCTCGAACTAGTGACGTGTCTTAAAACGTTCGATATTTTTATTAATCATTAAAAATAACTGTTTTTATAAAAAGTTAAAACTTCATGCAAATATTTTTAAAAAATTAGAGAAGACTCCTTATATGATGTACTTCAACGCCCTTCAAGCTTTATTTGTATTTTTGCAACACCCTGTATATTAACAGTAGTATAATAATAAGGCAAAATATAATATAATAATTATAAATTAAATATTTTACTGTCTTAATTTCTTCTATATTTTGAGTAATTAGGTGGGCCCCTAAATAGTATTAGCCCAGGGCCCCTTTAACTAACTACACCCCCCCCCACTCCACCTGATGTTAAGTGTAAGTGTTCTCACCTTGCCGGTCTGAGCCCAATCCCCACCCCAAAAATACCCCACGGAGCCCTGAAACCCTACTCACCAGCAGAAACACAACACCACCAAAAGTTATTCTTCTGTAAGGTGGAGGTTGATTTCCCAGGCAGGTGCTCCAATTCGAGCGGAAAATCTGCTGTGCCCTACTACGACTATCTTGTCCGTCGATATAGACTTTTAACTATGTACAGACAGTATATATAGAGCCCTTACCGCCAAATTATCGTAAGCGACACTCGCCAAATTATCGTAAGCGACACTTTTGTCGTAATGCGTTTTTTGTGGAAACTAATATTTTAAACAGTAACGGACCCATCTCTGTTGATATTTCCCTCCAAAAGAATACCGTTATAATATAATAGAGGTGTACGGGACGCCGGGCTGTCGCAGTAGCGGACAGTTACCGACTCGTACTGAGGGGGTGGAGGAAGTTACACGCAGGAGTCTTGACTGTAGTGGACTGTAGTTTCGGCGAATAAAACCCCTGGTGTTCGGTATTGAAGAAATCGGTGGGCGCTGATAATGGATGGCCGGTGAGAGGAGGCTTCAGGTCCAGAGTGAACCGCTTGATTGTTTCTTCCTGTTCCTTAGGGTAGGAGCGCCTGTCGCTGAATGCATGTCGGAGCATGTTCCGACTCGAATTTTATATGCTAGGACTGAGCTGGCCAGCGATCCATTACCTCACCCACGCTATACTTTATTTTTCATTTTTTCAAAAATTACAATAGTGCGAGCTTAAAACTAATTGTACATACATCGGGCATACATTTAGGCATATTTTTAACACAGTTATGTGTCCGTAAACACGATATTTTAGGTGTGGCGCGCAAAAAATAGGTCTCCGCAATATTTATACTTTCCCCCTCCATAGGGCTTCGCCCTGCCACGGGGCTTCGCTGCCCCACCCGCGCGCTCCGGGCGCGCCGGGTGGGGAGCGCAACATGTCTCAGAAAACGGTTCTATACAAACATGTTTTGTCTCCTACACGGTACATTTTTACACTTATTGATGTGATACCTATTTACTTACGTAGCCCTACGC